ACGGTGCGAAAAAAGTTCAACATGCATGCATATACATTAGATGGTGGATTATTACATCGTCAGATATGACAATGGCTTGGGGAGACCAGCAGTGGATTGTTCATGTCCTGCTGATGACGATGATGAATTGAATAATAATTACCTGGCTCGGTAGATAGGCAATGATTATTAATAACCACGTGAGAGCACCCCCCTAAGATCACGCTCGTTTCCTTTACAGTTGAGACGAGGTGAGGAGGTGAACCAAGTGGCATGGGGCGCGGATCGGGGGCGGGGAGGGGGGCGCTCCCCCACCAAATGAATATTTAACGACATCTTGGCAGCTGGTCCCTGGAGAATGCCTCTTGAACGCATGGGCAGCGACTCGTGCATTATTGACCAAGGCCCCAGTCCAGCCCCACACATAAGCAATGTTATTACGTATATTAACATAAAATTACAATCGCGTTGAATGTACGGATTTTAGTGGCGCTAATTAAACCATTAATACAGTCGTGCATAATGCACGTTGCCATTATTATTAACATCCGTACAGCGAAAAACGTAATGTGTACACATTGTTTTTCATTCCACTGCAGGATAAAGCCCCCCCCCCCCCCGCCTAAGTCGTATCGGTCATGGGCATGGTTGCATGATGATACTTGACCACTCTGGTTAGTGAAGATTGGTGAATAGGATGACCGTAACCGGTTAAGACACCACTAGCCACTGACGTTAGCCATGGCTGGGAAATGAACTCATGTTGCCTGGTTCATTGTGCAATGCGCTAATCTATGTGCCACCACTTCACCAAATAAATACAGCACTGAAAGTATGATGTACAGTGTACAATTTGGGGGTAGTGTGGTGGTGCAGTGGTTAGTGCCCTGTGTTATGGACCCCATAACCTAACTAGGAATTCTGGCCATAGCTAACATGAGTGACACGTGATAGCTGATCTGGTCTTAAACCACGTCCTTCCCTTCCTCCCTTCACGGACCCGCACTGACCTGAGTGGTGAAATATGGGCAAACAACCCCTCATGACTGCCATGGCATGGAGAGGCCCTCAGCAGTGAACTCACAAAGGGCTATGAAAATACAAATACTTTTGCTTTTCAGTATTGCAAGCTCCAGCAATTCCCTTTAACATTTAGAAAAATGTATATCTACAGCAGCTGAATTAAGTTGAGGAACATGTAAATATATTTTTACCAAACTTGTAATAAGATAAACGTCAATTATTTATCTCGATAAGTGTAACTGCGTCTCATCAATCTTTGTCAGGAGAGTCCTGCATTGGAATGCTTGGCCAATTTGTTTTCGAGGCGTGTGTTTTGTGGGAGGAAACTGGAGTGCCCAGAGAACTATTCAAGCGTACGATGACACTAAAAGGTCCACAAAGGTTGGGTTCACGGACCCACTTATAGGGTTAGGAATCTCACAAATCCAGCAGGTTTTTCTTTTCTTAACATTTACAGATGTGTTTATCGTTGGCATTAGTCAAGCTAATGGGCCCCCAGAGTGTGGGAGTGGGAACTCCACATTTCAATTTTCCAGAGGCAGACTTTGCAGGCGTGAGCAATGGCAACCACAATTTGCTTGATGAGTCCTAATGGATAAAAGGGGTCCACAGTTGTCCATCACTGCATCACTGTTTTGCCGGTACATTTACTCAAACGTATTCTCATGGTGACCTATGGCAAGGGGACCAACAATGCATTTCTTCAGGAAATGCTGTTGAGTTATTTTTTGGCATGTGCACAGAGAGGATGTGTGTGTGTTTTTACGCCGTTTGTGTGTCGTTAAAAACTGCGGTCACCGCGAGGCAGGAGTCATGCGCGACCCCTGGGTGGCGCTCACACTCCTCAGCTTCCAGCTTTCACGACCTTGCTTACCGCACGTGGTCTCTGAGTCGGTCTGGTTGCAGCACGGTTGGGCCCTATATCGGTGGGACAAGGCAGGAGGGGGATCATGTAAAACGATGGTAAGGGGCTTCGATTGGGTCATCTGTACCAACCCCAGGCGACGTGAGTCCTTGAATTTACCACTAATTAGGACGAGCCACTTAAAAAAATAAGTTAACACCTCAGTGGGCTTTGCCTGGTAGGATGGGGATGGTTTATTTTATGTTTTTGAGTGATTTGTTTACCTTTCTTGCACTTTGCGCTCTTATCGTGTGTTTGTACTGTTTGTTGTTGTGACGTTCTTACCTGCCCCTGCTGGATATCTGTTAAAAAAGAGCTTTGTTGCTCATCGGATTCCTCCAGTCTAAATAAATATTCTGATTGTGAAATTGGTCTTGGAGGCCACTACCTCACCTTGTTGACTCCAATTCCATCATGCTCTTGGAAACAAAATTATGTTCGTACAATCCCAATTGTCATTATCAATGATAATACAGTATAGTGCGATAAGGCTGATGATAGCAATCGCTATGACGGGTGCATCATGCGTATTGTTTTTTGCGATACGTATTTAGTATTGACGTTTTGAAGGGTTCATTTATATTCATGGTTACCCTGCAAAATGCTTGCGATTTCAATGAGCTGTTGAATTTAAATAACACGCATTTACCTGCTTATATACAAAGCCAATTTACCTGCAGCGTCGCATCAGGAGCCACGCAGTTATCTACTGCTGGATGAAGACCCCCCTTTGTATAGATGTGGAATTGAAATATATTATTTATAAAAACGCTCTTTTTAAAATGTGGTCATGTACAGTACTGTGCTGTATGCCTCGCTTGGCTCTAAGAGCCTTAGGCACGAACCCATGACGTGGGAAGATTGGAGCTTTGAAGTTATATCTATTTTTTTAAAATAAAAAAATTAGTTTCGTCCGTGTAAACCCATTTCTAATGAATCCTGAGATGTCCCAGGCGTGTTGGGATATTGTGGCCCATCACGTGTAGGTGTGACGTGAGGAAATGGACAATCGTGAAACACAAATCCATAAAAGTTTTTTTTGGGTTAAAATGAAACACGAACACTATATCAGCATATATTAATCTCAGTATGAGCAAAACAATTTTTGTTTACACATTTAAACACAAAATATTTGTAAGGCCTAATATTATTGGCTTTCCAGATCATTATAATGCTAGCACGCATTTGTTTAAGCCAATTTCTGATGGACTGGAAGGCATGTTTATGTTAACGTGGAGACACAACAGAGTAATGCTTTGATGTGCTGTTATTCATCACGCTCCACGGCAAGGCATGATGAGTTTATGTATGTTCCCACAATTCACTCCCCACGCCAAACAAAGGGTGCGATACAGCGTTGGAGGTGATGCATTAGCGCAAATAACAATAACTATTGCCCGAAAACGTCGCTTAATACCCTTAATAAAGCAGTGTTATTGACGATTATGTGTGTGTGTAGTTGTTGTGTACGTTACGTATGGTTATACTGTACACTAGGAACTCGAGAGTACTTTAAAGAATCCACACGATGCTCTGCATAAAACAAGCCCCAGAGCTTGTCTCCCGTGTGTGTTACAATGTTGGGTGTGTGTTGTGTGTGTGCATGTGTATGTTGCGATAATAATTTACTTGCTAAACCAGTCCGAGCGGTGAAACCCATGACAATGAGCGACACAAATTGAAACCAACACACACGGAGAAAATGTAATTAAAAAAACATTCATAAGACATGAAAATATCATTTAACACGATAAGAGTATATAGAGCGACACACGCAGAAAACAGACTGTTGTTGGGGCAAGTGCTGTTAGCGAACATCTATGAAAGCAGGCACGGTCACACACACGAGAGGGTGAGTGGCCAGCACCACGCCCGGCCGCCTTTGTCTCCCCATTGCGGTGTGTAAAAACATCGCCACTACAACACACCGCACCGGGTTACACATTTGAGGCTGAGTCGGCCTAGGGGGAGGCCCAGGACCGGTTCAGATTTATCGTGAGCGGGAATCGAACTCGGATTAACCAGGTTCGTAGCACCATGAAGTGGCAGGCTAGGTGCACATTGAGGCTATCACGTGAAGTGTCGACAGGGCTGGCTGCTGACAGAAGGAAGTCTCGGGACAGACCCAGCAGGTGCCACGAGTTGGCCGACTGAGTTGACCGGTATAGATGCGCCACCAGCTGTACCCCCTACTGTGCCAACTTGCTGCATTTTAACCGCCCGGCGCTCCGCTCGTTGTTGTGAGCGTCGCTCCTCTGCCCTCCTCCGTCGTTGTTGCTGGAGGGCGACTGCCTCCAACTGCCCAGCAGCAGCAGCGTCCTTCACGAGCCTCCTCCTCCACAGAGGCCGATCTTGACACCGCTGGTACCGGTCATCGTCAAGTCCACTCAGGTCCACATCCTCCCGCATCGCATCAGCTCCATCTCTTCTCAACAAAGACGAAGATCCCCTGTGTAGCCTTAACAAGTGTTGTTAGCGAGCACCTATGAAGGGCCGGCACGGCACACTAGGGGGTAGGTGGCCAACACCACGTCCGGCCGCCTTTGTCTCCCCAGTGGCGATGTTTTTATACACCGCACCAGGTACTCATCTGAGGCCGAGTCGACCTAGGGGAGGCCCAGGACCGGTTCAGATAATCGTCACCGGTGTTGGCCGTGAGCGGGAATCGAACCCGGGTCGCCAGGTTCGTACCGCAGCGCGCTAACCACTGCGCCACCGCTCCCCACACACAACACACACACACAACACACACACCCACAACCCACACACAACACACACACAACCCACACAACACACACACAACACACCCACCCACACAACACACCCACCCACAACACACCCACAACCCACACACACACAGGCACACACAGGCACACACACACCCACCCACAACCCACACACACACAACACACCCACACACAACACACCCACCCACAACACACCCACAACACACCCACCCACAACACACCCACAACACACCCACCCACAACACACCCACCCACAACACACCCACCCACAACACACCCACCCACAACACACACCCACCCACAACACACACCCACCCACAACACACACAACACAACACACCCACCCCACACACACACACAGACACACACACACCCACTTTACACAGCGCCCCCTATTACCATCAGCAGAGGCTGTCGGAGGCTCGCACAGCGCAGCCAGCGAGCCACAGAGGCAAAGCGAAGCCGGTCGGGGCCGATGGTGGCCGCCACACACGGCACACACAGCACACGACGACTCGCAAATACCACCGGCAGTGTCATTCATTACGTGTATATACACACATATATACACACACATACACACGCGCGCGCAAAGACACGGGCGGCTAGATGATCCGGACGTAAAGCGAAGGGCCAGGGTGGTGTTACACGTCCGCTAAAGAAGAAGACGGTGGTGGGGGGAGCTATTCACGCCACGTTGAGACGGATCACACTCAAGAGAGACGAACACACACAACACACTCGGCAAGCACCGGGTTACATCACGACACGACACACCATTCGTGTCGTGGCATCACGACAATAGCCAGCACCCAAACCATCTCGACACGCACCCTACGTTACAGGGGGTTCCAGCAGACACGTCCGCAGCAGCAGCTGAGACGTGGCCCAGCCACACACACAGACACACACACAGACAGACACAGAGACAGAGACAGACACACACACAGACACACACACAGACACACAGACAGACACAGAGACACATACCCCGTGTGTGTGTGTGTGCGGTGAGCCAGTGAGCCATCCCGTCTCGTCAGATGCGCGGTTCACGCTGCGTCCACGCGTGATTGACCCCGACTCCAAGATGGACAATGTCACCACGGAGGACGGCGGCGGCGAGGGTGACGGATCCTACATCTCGGGTCTGGGCTCGAACCCGGAGCGGGCCACCTCTGCGTCGGCGGGCAGCCTGACCGGCTCTGCCCACGGGGCCTACGGAGCCGCTGGTGGCGGTGCTGGTGATGAGGACTGTGCAGACGATGATGACGATCGGAGTTCCGTCGGATCCGACTCGGAGGTGAACGCGCCCAATGGCACAAGGAAGACGGATCGCTTCGGATTCATCGGCGGGACTCAGTACACGGATGCCGTGTGAGTAACCCCCCACCGAACGATGAGCAACACTCCGAAACGCGCACACACAATACACGTGTGTGTTGTGTGTGTGTTGTTGTGTGTGGGTATTGTGTTGTGTGTGTGTACCCGGGTTTGTACGGGGAGTGGTGGCGCAGTGGGTTACATCCATAGCACTGCGCTACGAATCCTAGATGGGGCCCCTTCCCCCTAGGTCGACTCAGCCTTAAATGTGTGTACCCGGTACGATCTTATGTGGAACGTCGCCACGAGGGTGACAACTCGCACGAGAGGGGACGACAGGAGGCTATGCGTGGTGTTGGCCACCACTGGGGAGACAAAGGCGGCCGGGCGTGGTGTCGGCCACCCACCACCATCGTGTGCAGTGCCGGCCTTAATAGGTGCTCGCTAACAGCACTTGCCCCAGCAGTCTGCGTATCCTGGACCCGATAGACATGTAGTCCATTCTCTTGTGCGAGTTTGTGCTGTACCTTAACCCCCGTGGCAAGTACATACACAGAAGACCCCGATCCTATTGACACATCCCTGTGTGTGTGTTTATACATTGTGATGTATGTGCGCTATCCCTTTACGTGACCTCATCGTGTATGTGTGTGCATTGTACCGATACGCAATGTCACTGAACACTCCCTCGCGTCCACCCCAACTCTACAAACATTACTATGAATGTATGTATGTTGAACCTCTTTCGCACCGTACGTAGCCTACCATGCTAATCGGAGGTGCGGATGATACGTGATGTGTGTTCCACTACTACATTTGTGTACACGTATGTGTATCATACCTGTCAACCCATACGGTTTATCCGTATTCTTGTCCAGGAATTGAGCAAAAATAGTTTTTGTCTATTTGTGTGTTTCTCTCTTGTTGTGGGACTTTGTGGGATGAGCGTTGGGATTGATAAAGGGCACGGGGTGACCAATAAGGTCTAAATCGGTCTGTAATAAGGAAGGCATTGATAAGGGGTTCACATGTATGGTGTATACACGTGCAATGTACACGGTACGTGTGTTTCTCGTGTGATACAGTTATTTTTGTGACCATTTATATTTTTATATTTGCCTTTTGTCATATTGGTGACCCTCAGCTCACGATTGCAAATTAGACCATCCTGGCCTCTTGAATTCTTACCTGGTTAATCGGCTATGTATAGGCGGGGGTACCCTCTTGTGCACACGCAGCGATACACAGGTGTGTGTACAGGTGTGCAACCAATCGCCGCCACGTGTTAGCCCTGTGTGTATTCTCGATCACACAGTGTCGGGTCCTTTAAATCGAACCAGCTGATAGTCAATTGAGACTCGATTACACGACCCGTTTCAACGGAGACCAGGGTTTTAAAGGCAGAGAAAATGCAAAACAGGAAGTTAAGTGTTATATCAAAAATAATAAAGCTTTATAATCAAAATAATGTGTTGAATCAATCTTATTTTTGTTTACATACTTGTTTCCGTAACTTGGAGGCAAACAACGCATGGGCACAATGCGGTACTGTATTGTACAATGACACGTGGATCGGAGAACATATGCAGGTTTACAGACGCCATATCGATGGTTAATTAAAACACACAATTCGTGGGCTTGGGCAGGGAACATCTTGACTCGACAGAATGATAGTTGGATGGATAAGACAGAATGGCAGCCAACGGAGGATAGACGTTAGGATGGAGCAGTGAAAGCAGGCCATGTGCAGTTACGGTGCTGGGTGAATTGTTGCATTGCGAGGCCCGTGATAGGTAGTGACAGCTTGGGGAGGTTATGGCTGCTGCTGATGATACAATATGCCAACGTTTCAGAAAGTGGTCCATCTTCAGAGCGACTGTTGGCACTGTGTGAGATAAGATAAAGAACTTGGTATTTTGCCTGCTCAGTGGAAGGTAAATCACTGGCTTTTGTTATTATTGACAGCCTGGGGCCTGGCATACGATTGTGGAATTTAATGGCCTGCCTAAGGACAGCTGATAGGAATGTGGGTGTGTGTTGATACCTTTGTGGGGTAGCAGTGGTTACCCGAGTTCGATTCCCAACCATGGATAAGATCAATGGGAAAGCCATCTAGACCCAATATCTGGAATTCAGATTCTCAGCAGTGCTGGCTCAGTGTCTGTGACACAGCGCTGACGAACAATATTAGACCATCCAGACATACACTCACATGCTAAATGTTGTTGTTTTGTCTTTGTTGACAGCTATCGGATCCTATACTGACTGCATGATGGGAACTCTGTAGGCTTTACTACACGGTACTATGCTTGGCAAAAAAAAATCCGTTTGCCATGCCCTTTGTAGCCTCGTGATAATCACAAGATAGTGCCAGCTGACATATGCAGCATCGTCATCACCATCGTCGTGATTACAACCGTCACGAATTACTACAGTCATCGTTATGATTTTTAAAGATAGGTGACGATTTTTATTTCTTTGCACTCGGAACCTGGAGTCTGAATTCGATTCCGCACTTAACAGCGTGTTGAAGTATGGTCAAACAACCCCCAGGACTAGCGTGGCGTGAGGAGGCCTTCATCCAGCAGTTGATTGCCAACGGGTTGTTGATTATATATCAATGTTTTATGAGCCCAGCGAGATCAGGAGTCTATTTTTTCAAGAGAGACCTGGGTTTAACAAGTACATCAGAAAACAAAACACATTCAAAAGCCATCATTAGCAATTGTGTATCTTCTGCTATATGAAGGCCTTATCACACTACATCGCTCATCCACAATTAAATGGGATCACACGGTTAATTACATTTGTTTTCACGTCTCATGTAATAAGGGGCCATAAGTGGCGAAATTAGCCTCCAACAATCCCTCCAGAGACGATACATTCTGGCCTAACCACTGCCTCAGGGTTTGTACGGGAGACCCAAGTAAGGCCTTGCCATCAGCCCATCCTTTATTATAGCACTGCAACATTTATTAGGGCTGCACGATTAGTTGAATTTAGTTACGCAGCTTACGGAACTCGGATGGCAACATTTTTGTGAAATTGGGGGGTACCAGAATGGAAGAAATTGTGGTCCCGTGGTTCACCCACCGCCTCCCCCCGGGGTTCATCGTGCAAGGGAACCCGAGGAAGAAGCCAAAGAGTAAAATGCTGCCGTGCAAGGAAAACAGTGCAGAAAACACCGCCTGCAAAATCCACAACACCCCAGAGAATAAATATCAAACAAGGACCGTGTTTTGATAACCGGTCGGAGGGAGACGTGTGGTGGATTGTGCATAACGTTTTACTTTGTGTGTGCCTGTGTAAACTTGGGAAATTACTTTGGCAAAACACTTCTTGTTTTAAGAAATATCAAAAACGTAGACATCAAAACTGACCACTAGGCCTCGGCAAGGTAAGGTAAAAGGTCAAAAGCAACGAGCCTACCTTTACCCTACCTTTTACCCTTACCCCATACAAATTACCCGATTACAGGGTAATTACTGGGGTACTACTACACATGAAAAAGGTTTATAACAGGTAAATGCTAGGTAGAGTGCTTTATTCATATAGAATACTCTCAATGATTCCAATTTTACACGCTTTCTTTAAACTCTGTCTGTTGTTGTCGTCATTGTTGTATCCTCAAATCTTGTAACTCAATGTTAACCCACTTCCCAATGTGCTTTCGACTGCAAACTTGGTATAGTTATGTCATACTGATGACAATACTATATTCTATCATTAAAATAAACTAAACATATTTTTAAACATTATTTTGTATATGTTATGTTTCGGCTTGGGTCTAATTGTCCACTGTCAACTGACGTTGGCTGTGATTGGCCACGGCCCCCTTACGTTGTGGCAAGCTTCGGGACCACTTCCTGGAGTTCGTGGAGTTCTGCCATTACTAGTACATTTCATAAAAGCGTGTTTTTAAAAAAAAGTTGTGTTTAAAAATATTACTTATTAAATGGAGGCCACGGACTGCACCACGGAGCTTTTAGCGGTAAGCAAGGCACCGTATTTACCGGGTTAATACTTCGCGCTACCTTTACCCTTTACCTTACCCCTTGGCATGTCGACACCTTTACCTTTACACTTTTACCCGGTAAAAAGGGTAAATCACCTTACCTTGCCGAGGACTACTGACCACTACTGGGACGCTTTTTTTTGTTCGTGAGCTGGTTGTGGCTGTACACGTGACCGTACACTATAGAGTAATATACATTGAGGTGCACCTAGCCTGGCACATGCACTACGGTGTCATCGCTGCCTGCTTGTGGAAAAATCGCAGTTGCTGTTGTACACTGTATGTACAGTAAAGTAAACAGTCGTCTAAATACCGGAATCTTTTTTTGTATTTTGAATGTAAAAAAAAATCATAACATAAGTATTTTCCTTCATTAAATGTAAAAGCATCCTGTTAAATGACATATATTAGTCCTTAACCAATGTGCGGTAATTGGGGGAGCTACTGCTAGACGTATGATTAATTGACAAGAGGGTGTGGAATGTGGATAAATTTAGATGCATTTGTCACGGGCGTGGTGACGCCAACTATTTCAACATTTGACGTCACCATCTCAAGGAGAACAGTGGGGTTCTTGTAACGCTTGAGATAAAGATGATACTTGTGATGATGATGGTGATGATGCTTGTGATGATGCTGGTGATGATATTAGTGGTGATGGTGTTGGCGGCATTGGTAGTGACGAGACTGTGGTGTAATGATTTTTGTGATGATGGTCGTCATGGTGGTGGGCAGTGGTGGTGGTGATGACAATGTTGGTGATGATAGTTGATGGTGGTGATGATAGTTGATGATGATACTTGTAAATATGATGTGTATGTGAGAATGGCGGTGGTGGTGATCATGTATCTTGTGGTGATAGTCATGATAATATGTTGTGATTATGATGGTGGTGCTGATTATGATGTTGGTGATGGTGTGTGTGATGCTGGTGATTATGATGACATACAGAGAGAGAACGGCTGAGAAGCTCTAGATGGAACCACAGTAAAATGGGGAACGGCAGCCTGGTGGTGAGCCGGTGTCAAGTTACACCCCA